AACGTATCTTTTGTTCCCTCTATATAAGTATTTGAAGATTAAAATGAAGCAACACCAATATACAACAAGATATCACAACAAGAACAAGAATTGTTTCACTCTCTAACCTTGTGTATATAGTTGTTATGGTTGCACATAGTCTTGAGAGTTTCTTACACTTGTATAAAATCTCAAATAACAAGGTTTATGCTTGTACTGTATTATTTGTACCTCTGATAGTATATCAAGTAAATCTTGTTGTAATCCTAAATATTTTGTTTAGAATTTGTAAAAGTCTCAAACAATGTGTTTGAGCAAAGAAGTCTCTTTTAGGTGTGATTGAGCTAGGAAGTCTTGAACTGTGAGTTTAGGCAATGAAGTCTCTTTCAGGTGCGATTGAGTAAGGAAGTTATAAACTGTGAGTTTAGGAAAGGAAGTCTCTTTCATGTGCGATTGAGCAGGAAGTCATGAGTTGTGAGTTTAGGCGAGGATGTCTCTTTCAGGTGTGACTGAGCAGGAAGTTTGGGACTGGTGTGTCCAAGAAAGTACTAATCAGGTTTTGATTATAGTGAAAAGCTCTTGTTTGACAAGGAGACTGGAATACTCTTGTTATAGAGGTACCAGGATAATCTATATGTGTAATTTACTTATTGCTTCTGCACTTTAAATTATTCTGATGTTTCTTACTCCAACTTAGAATTTCAACTTGATCAGATTCAGAAGTTGTTGTTCTAAAAAGAACAAATTATCAAATACATAATTCAACCCCCTCTTCTTGTGTATTTTTCTCACCTTCATCTTTCTCCCTCCAAAAAAATATTCTAGTGTTGATTTCTTGAGTGTGAACATGTTTTGTGTGAGATTTTTTCTAAAAACTTCATCTTCAACATTTAACCAAAAACACCATTGTTGAGTGTTGATCAATTGTGTGTGTGTGTGTGTGTGTGTGAGAGAGAGAGAGAGAGAGAGAGAGAGAGAGAGAGAGAGAGAGAGAGAGAGAGAGAGAGAGAGAGAGAGTGTGTGTGTGTGTGTGTGTGTGTGTGTGTGTGTGTGAGAGAGAGAGAGAGAGAGAGAGAGAGAGAGAGAGAGAGAGAGAGAGAGAGAGAGAGATCTAATAGTGAAGGGGTTCATTAAGCATTTTAATGTTGTTATGAAGATTATTTTGTTTACACTTTAAAGATTCAGATTATAATTATGTTTTATGGAGATTGACATCCAATGAAGAAAAAAAAGAGTTTCTTCTCCAATGGAATTTCAGTGTGAGTGAGTGGAGATCATTGTGGACGAAATCTTGATGTTTTTAGATCCTTTAACACGTTCAAAGACTCAGACAAAATAATTTCGGAAGGATCGAGTGAAGATCATTATGAACGAAGAAATTTTTGAGTGCTTTTCTTCTTAGAAGGTTGTTAACTCAAATTTGAAGATCTTGATGGATTCGTACCCTAATTAGTTGTGTATAATAGAATAAGAATCAAGATTCAGATATGAGTGCTTAGCAATTGGCTTTAAGTTTTTAGTTTATCTGTGATTATATATTATATCAAAAACACTTGTAAATTTTAAATTAGTGGAAGACTAACAATTTCTGATGACTTACCATTGAAGGTTGAACTAGGTACAAGCGAGGACAACGCAACGAACCAACACAAATCTTGATCGACACCTTCTCTATCCCTTAGCTTTTTAATTTTCGCATAAATTTGATATGATCTTAGGTTTATATTGACTTTCTAGTATGCATGTGCTTAGATCTGATATTTATAGAATTTTAATATTTAAACTTAGGTATGTGTTAAGTCTTGTCTCCTAAATATTTTTTCAAATGATTATTTTGAAAATCTACAACTTTTAAATTGTCATATCAATTAATCAAATTCTATTCAAACATCTTATTTATATCAAATTGGTTAATTACCGAATTGTTAATTAGTAGTTTCATTATCATCTATTATTATTGAAGTTACATATAAGTGTTTGTTATATATATAAGTGTTTGTTATATATTAACTTTACTTGTGCAACAAGTTACATAGTAAAACATCTCAATTGATATGAACATTTCAATTTCTAAATCCCTTTATTATCGTCCTTAATTTATCTTAAATTATAAATTTTTCTGATATATTGCTCCTATGTAATGTTTTTTTTATTATTACGTGTGATGATTTAATTGTGTTAGATGTGAATAACATATCTGATTACACCATAATCATTAATATATTTTACATAAAAAAATTATTTGCATCATTTTCATTCACATTAAAATTTATCATAAAAATAATGATTTTTCATTATTTGTGTTAATGATGTCAAAGAATGTCATAATTTAAATCAAGAAAGTATTTTGAGTTGTAATTCCAGTTACAAGAATTTTGAATCAACTCAAATGAAGTTTTTTGTAAAAATATTTCAGTTCGAGATGTGTGACTCGTGTTACATATTCCCTGTCTCGAATCAAAATGTACATTATAAAATTTTTAAAACGCATGACTCAAATCAAAAATTTGTTTGACTCGAATCAAATTTTTTGTCATTGATTCGAGTTATGTTAAACTTAACTCAAATCAAACTTCATGTTAAATCTTAACCATCAAAACCTTCAACTTCTCATCCATTGAATCTCCTATACAAATTCTGCATTTTTCTTGTCATTTTCCTCATTCACACTTCATTTCTCCAAACCTCTTTGAACTCATATCTCCTAGGACCAAGCTCCAATAATATTCATGTAAGTTCTAAGTTCAAATTCAAGTTTCATCTTAGCTCCAACGAAAAACATATTTATATTAAAATACGTAATAATTTAATAATAATGTTTTTTTTTTAAATAAATATATATTTTATATAATATAAATTAAAATATATATAAATATATAGTGTAAAAATTGAATGAGATAAATATCAAATTTGTTATAGGTGTTTTTGAGGGTGTAATTATTTCTTTTGCAGATTTTTTACTCTATTCTTTATAAGAATTTTTTTGCCGATACCATTTAATATGAGTGCAAGTGATGTATGAACCCATGTGTGCATCTCAAAATCTTTTTTTTAGGGACCACTGTTCCTTGCACTCATCAACTTGAGGCATATACGCATTCGATATTTTTTAAATTGTGGGTTAAAATTTTAAGTTAAATATTTTTTATTTAATAAATTAATAATAATATTTAAATTTAAATTTTTTTATCTTTATCCAGCGACGGAAAAGCTGCCAATAAGTGAATGTGAGCAAAATTTCACTTCATAGGTTTCATTTCCTTTTTAGATAGTAACTGAGTTTAAACTTTAGAAGTAGAAATATACACAAATCGTGCAAAATATTGATCAAAATTACTATCTTTCCCATTGAATTTACACATGCTTGTTCTACCCAAAAAAAAAAAAAGGAATTTACATGATTGTTATAAGACAACCAGAATCTGATCCGCGATCGGTTAGTCTATATATAATAAAACACATCTCCCAAGTAGTAATATCCAAATCAAAAGAAACAATTGAACAACCCAACAAATTCTGAAATAATATTAATCAACCAGACCAAAGCCAACTAAGACATTTTTGGTTGCAAATAAATTCCAAAGTAAATTAACTGAAAATATTCCAGATTTATCAATAAAATATAGAGAAGCAGCATTAAAGTACTATGCATGAAGAACAGAAGAAAAAAATTTAGACAAAATAATATTTATGGAAAGCAATAAAGCATTAGATTCCTGCTATTTTTTCTTATATACAAACAAATCTCTACATTAAGGAAAATCATATAAAGCTTCAAATGATGTTGACCTTTCATTCCACATGCACCAATATATTCTAGTTTCAAATAAGTTAAGTAGTTCCAACATTAAAAAAAAAATCTACAAAAATTTCCTGTTTTCTAAATGCTGCATGCTAGGCCAAAAAACTTATGAATTCATATTGCACTAAATTCTCAGCACAACAACAATCAAATTTTATCTCATTAAATGAAATCGGTTATACGAATAACTTTTGCTATAATATTCTATCTAGCACGATGCTTCTCAAGAGTTAAAAAAAAAAAAAAAAAAAACAAGAGATGAGTGCATAAATTTGGCTTACAGAATTGATACACTTTTGAGAGCATCAAAATTATCTTTCCATCACACCAGCCAGCAAGGAATAGACATAAAGGTATTGAATGGATACATAGATATAACACAAAGCTAATAAGGTAATGTTTTAATTGGGACCATTGTCTGAAATAAGTCACATGTAAATAAAGTTTTGGTTAATTGATACCAACCTAGCAAGAAAAAAAGCACTCTTGGAATACAACAGCTATATGTGGTGTTGTCCTCAAAACTACAACTTATGACAAGCAGCAAAACCAGGTGGCATGAGCCCACCTTGTTATCACTTTTGCAGAAATGCATAACATTCCAAAAATTCAAGTTAAAATGCTCCCAAATTATAAAGAAAAAAACCCAACATTGCACCAATCAGTTAAGCTTTTGCAGAATAAAGACACAAAAATATAACACATCCTGTCCAAAGTAGAGCACAATTTTCAGTGGCACCACACTGCCAAACCATATTCCTCTGCTTTTTTCTGGCAATAAAAGAAACGGCGTGCATGTTTGGTATTTCAAAGTGTAGATTTTGCAGAATTATAATGGTCCATGGTGATTTTTTATCTTTGCTGGAACAAGAAATAAGACTCATCCCATTAACATCAAAGCATATACATATTTTATTTGGTACTACAAACCAGAGATGCCCAAGTGCAGAGACAAGCAATATCAATATCATCAGCATATTGTTAGGGTAAAAAGAAAGAAACATTGTTATTAAGAGTAATCTAATATAATCTAATCTTAAAAAGCAGTGTTGCCAATAACTGACATAGAAAAATGCAGGGTGTTTTTATCCAATCCAATCCAACCAACCATGAAGAATACATAGTCATGTGTTAATTTTACACAAGAAATGCAGCAAATGTAACAACATGAAACCAAAGAACACCTTATGGAATTTCAATTTTTTGTTTTTTTTTTCTTTCAATACAACCTAAGTACACTTCTAGCAATAGAATGTGCCTGATTGGACCTTCCTTTCGAGGCACCGTTTCTCCGGCCACCAGGCGTTAAGTAGAGCTTCAAGAGACCACCATTATCCATGCTGTTGTTAGGAGAATATCTCGCACTTCTGTTCCTCTCCAACACAAACTCATCCCTTCCTTTTCTTCCAAGGTACCCGTTACTACTCTGAACATCACTCTTCCTCCCACTGAAAATTCCTCCTCCCCCACCCATGCTTCCTCCCATGCTCGGTGCATTCCTCCAACTCACACTACTATTGCTCCTCAATATCTTCCTATTCAAACCACCACCACCACCAATACTACCAATTCCAACACCGCCTCTAACATCCCCATTCCTTTCCCCTCTAAACTCCTGCCACGACTCGGAATAAGAACGTTCCACCCCATTACCGTTACCTCCTCTACTACTATACCTATCATCTTCCTCCTCTTTGTTATTATTCCCTCCACCACGACGATGTATAAAGCCCCAAATACTCCACGCCTTGCTCCATCTACTCGAACTCTTCTTAGACCCTCCTTTACGATCACCATAACCGTTATTACTCCCAACAACAGAAGCATTATCTCTATACCCCAATTCAAAACTCTCAGAACAATCATCCCTCAAGGAATTATTTGAATTAGAATTGGAATTATTTGAATAATCCCTCAAATCCCTGTCAACTTTCTGACCATGTAATAAATAATCAACACCAGCATTAGCATTCACATTAACATTGACACTAGCAGTAGCAGGAGTAACCTTAGCATTAGAAACAGGTTTCAATTCATCCAAATCAGCAACAACAGCAGCAGCAGTTTTTCGAATAGAACTAGACCTATCAAGGCTTTTCCTTCTCCTCGTTGAAGAATCAGAGTAATACTCTTTCGTCTGAGTCGAATTACCAGGCATATTAATATTCTCTTCACCATTCTCATTCAAAAGTGGTGGCTCCTCAACCGGTATAAGCGAATCAGTTCTTTGAACATGAACAGGAGCATCTTCAACAACAGAAAGCATAGTAGGCAAAGGCATTCTGGGAAATGTCTTTCCAATCAGATAACCATCCCATGAAGCCCGTGGCTCCTCGAACGAGTATCGAGGATCGTCAAACGACATGCGAGCAATATCAAGCGAGAATCGTGGATCAGTATCACAGGAACGACGGCCGAAGCCGTAATCCGCGATCTCTGACTGAGTTTCCCGAAATTGACGGCCGATAGGCTTCTCTACCGGCAATAGAGTTGAAGACCCCGAAACAGCACCGTTTCTCGGTCCTCGCTTCTTAGCTTTCTGCTTCTGCCTCCATTTCTGAAGCTTCTTGCTGAAAACCGAAGCTGCAGACCAGAAACTTCCAGCGATTTCCTTTAAATCTCGACCTGAACTTTTCTTCGCTTGAGAATCTAGATCCATGTGTTCTTTCATCGGTTTCAAGGTCTCTTCTTCAGCAAAAACCAACTCTGGTTCCGGTTCAATTTGAAAATCAGGCTCTTCTTCTACGATTTCGTGAAAAGTTTCTTCAATCACATTGGAAAGCTCTCGTTCTCGTTCTCGTGGTTGTGGCGGTTCTAAAACCCTAACTTCGTCTTTGTCTGAATCTTCAACGACAATGTTATTTTCTTCTTCGTCGTCTTCGTCTTCTTCTGACTCGATGAAAGGTTGTTGAAGAGTAGAAGATGAAGAAGCTAGGTTTCTGGTATCAAGCTCAGGGAGGAGACGCGGAGGTTCCGGTTTGGGGATTTTGCGTTCGTCGGCTTGATTGAAGAGAGAGTATAGAGTGCTACGGCCGCGAACGTCGCAGGATTTTCGTTGAGGCTCGAATGTGCCGGAGAAGCCTTCGTTTTTGGAGGCGGAGAAGGATTTAGTGCGGCGGAGTTCAGGGAAGAGGGAGTTGGAGGAAGATGTGGTTGGAGGGCGGTAGTTGCGTTGGGAGGTGGAGGGACGGAAGATTGCTTTAAGTGCGGCGGCGGCGGTGGAGGAAGTGGGGGGTTTGCGGTTGGAGGTGGAAGAGGAGGAGGTGGTGGTGTTGTTTGGATCGAGAACGGCGAGGCGTTCGCAGAGGCATGAAGGGCAGAAGCCGGTGAAGGTTTCTTGAGGGTGGGTGTCGCAGGAGGTGGAGGGGCGGTTTGGTTGGAGCTGTGGCGGTGGCGGTGGCGGTGGCTGTTGTTGAGTTTGTGGTTGGGGTAGTGTGGGGGGATTCATAACCGTAAATGGTGTGTGGTCATGTTACAATGAGGAGAAGAAGAAGAATGGTTGTGTTTCTCTCTTGTGTTGAGAGAGAGAGAGAGAAGTGGGAGAGTGAAGAAAAAGAAGGAGTGTGTGTGTTTGAGTGGGTGCGGTGTGATGTCTGTGTGTTTCTTTGACAAAGAAAGGAGAGAGAAAGAGAACTGTTTGGTTTCCAACGGACACACACAAAAGAAAAGTGAAGAGAGAGAGAGAGAGAGAATCTTGGTGATTGGGGACTCCTCTCACTCTCAAGTCTCAACAAAATATCCAAAACAAAACTATATTTATATAAAACAATATTTCACACTACTACTAAAACCAAATAATAGTAATATTTAATTTTTATTTACTCATGTTCTATTTATCTTTGTTTCATCTTTTCAGTACATCAAACTTCATGTATATTTTGTATTGTGTTTACTTATTAGAAATATATTTAAATTTGGACTAAAATAGGTATTCATCATTTAATTTAACTAACTTGTAGTACATTACTCATTTTCATTTATTTTTTTAAGTCAAAGTCATGATTTCTAGTCTATCTTGTATGACATGTATTATGAATGAAATTGTGTAAATAAATTTAAAGATTGATTTAAAGATCAATATTTAAAATTGTACAAATAAATTTTGTTTTCACCCGACTTACTTACATATGTATTTTAGGAGTACATGAATTATTTGATAAAATCTTATTTGTCAAGACATTTTCTTTCTTAAAAATTATTTATATTATTTCGAGAGATTTTAAGATCTAATTATGAATCCCGAAACAAAGATAAGGATAAAAAAGATATTTAAACTTTGATTATAACAGTTATAAAATCAATAATATTAAATATTAATTTCTTTTTTAAGTGTCTTAGGAATTAATATTTAATAAAAAGTTTGATGTTTAACTATCAATAATAATAGTATTGGTGTGTGACATATAACATATATACATAATCGTTAGAATATTTGAATAATTGATTGATTAAACCTAATCCTAATATCTATACATTTTGTTGTTTCATTTTGCATTTACGACATTTATTCACAATCAAATTTTATGAAACCATCAACAAATCCATAATTTAAAATTGTAACTATTGTTGAACAATATTAATATCAATCAAGTTCTTATTGATACGACTAAACTCATACTTACTTTTAATAAAGACTACATCACATAAGATTCAAATCTTTGTCTTGAATGGCGGCGTCATATTTTTTCTTAAACAAGAGTCATTGCTCATGATATTCATAGTCACGAAGCTTATATAAATTAACTCAAATAGAGAAATATATGATTTTGGATTTCTACTATAAATGATGCTTTTAAAGTTAATCTACATGGTTCTCATAATATCCTAATCAAAGGATTTGCTTGTGCATGTTTAATTCGTAACTCATTTAGTAATTTAATTAAAGGATTTGCTTGTGCATGTACAATAAGGCAACATAAGCTCTTAAATGATGACTACAAAACTTATGTAAGCTAAAAGTTTGCTAAACCAAGAGCAAAAACACATTATGCTATACTTATTTAACATTATTTATTGTTCAAACGTTATAATCCAGGAATGCATCATAATTGGAAGTATACCTAAAAGGAAACCTTGAGGAGGGATAGATGTATCATTAGTTTTAGAAGCCTTAATTATGAGGATAGACAAGTGAAGGATGACGATTACATCAAGGAGATTAGGTCATGATACCCCTAAGGAATGACAAAAGAGTTACAACTTGCAAACAAATATACTAGGAGGTTAAAAGAATGTTCCATGTAAACCCCCATGTCTTTCCTAGAAATCATGTTTATCTCGTAAATACTCATTCTCTTCCAAATGTTTCCTTTGGAAACTTTAACCATACAAAGTCAAGTTAGATTATCAATAGATGGACGAGGATGTGTTACAAATTCGCCTAACTTCCTTTAAGTAGTAACTAAACTGAATTAAGAGGAATTGCTGATTCAGTAGGTTCAAATAATAAAGCTATATAAGTGACATCATATGTATAAGGACAGAAAGTAACAAAGTCTTGCACATGGAAAAAGGCTCTAACAAAGTTTTGATTTTGGGAAGAAGAATTTATATTTTCTTGAGAGGGGGATAAAAAGCAACTTATCTAGAGAATATGAACAAAAAAGAAAGACATTAAGCTTAATAACATATTTTTGATAATTGGGAAGAAGGTTCACTAATTAATTATATAGGCTCATATTACTATTGATGTTGTCAAATGAGCAAGAATCAAATAGGTCTAAAGAGGTTTGTAAGTTCATACAATTTTTGTAATGATTAGTTTTCCCGTTAATGATGCACCATCTTACATCTCGAGATTACTTGACAATGCAACACACTTGTACATTTGTTTACGCCTAAAAAAACTAAATATTGGTCTAAATTGACAGACAAAAGAGTTTAGGTTTAATTGAAGGTCTCCTAGTTCAGGAAGAGTCCAATTATTACAAAAATAATAAAGTATGAGCTAACTAAATTTTTATCAAGTCTACTAGGTTTATTATGGTGTAGAGAATCTAAACTTAGTCAAAAGCACTAATCGAAGAAGTCTACGATTCTATAACTACATGATAAGAAATATGAGGTGTCCCATATCCTAAATTAGTGGGAACACTCACACATTACCCGCGTAAATAACCGAATGCAATAACATTTTCTAATTGTTACAATGATATGACTAGTGGAATAGTTTCTTCTATAAATTCCACGTTTTGTAAATAGTTAACAAGATATGGCCAATAAAATAAGTTTTTTGTGCACATTATGTGTTTTAGTTTGCTTTATTTTTTATGAAGTTTTAGGCTATTAGATCAACTTCTCATTTATATGTTTAACGTTCTTTAGAGTAATTAAGGACAACCCACATTTAATTGACATAGTTTCTTCCTTGTAATAATCACTTGAAGAAAAAGAAAACTATTGTTAAGAACTATAAATCAAATTTTGATTAAACTTTCAAACTTCTACATGTGATAAACTAGATTTAAGATAAAATAAATTTATCAATATAATATCTAGTTCGAAATTGTAACACTTTAAAAAAACTCTTTGTTCCTAAATGTATGCTAAATTTTAAATTATTATCTATATTTATTATTATTTAAATATATATCTTATTAATATTACAAATTTAAAGTTAAATTTGAACACAACTATAAATAAAATGATATATTTTAATACTTTTTACATTTTAAAGGATTGGTTAGCAAGTTTGGAGAAGAAGAGGTAGATATTTAAATAAAATTAAGAATGAAAAGAAAATGTATGTAATGTGACCTAAGATTCTTCATGCATTTGGTATACAATAGTCAAAGTTAAGCCATCAAAGTTAAATTTATTTGTAAGATTGTTATGGAGAGGTTTCCTCTTGGTATAATAATTGGATATGTGCATATTATCTTTACAATTTGTTTCCTTATATTCACATTAGTGACACAAAGATCAAATTTGAAGATATAGAGGAGAATGATCAATGGATGTTTCAGAGACTTAATAATACTCTTCTTGAACTAGTCAAGCTTAACATTTGGAGTGTTTACATGGATAATAATTTTTAAGGATGTTCTCATTTATATTGGCATTGAATGGATTTTTATTCATCTTCAAGTGGCTATATATGGTTAACTTTTCACTTGGATCATCAAGATATCCATTTGGATTCTTGGAGTTGCATTTGGAAGTTACAGGTGTTAGAGAATATGCACATCTTTGAGTAGTTTATCTCCTACGATCTCTTCCAACTATCTCCCTTAAGATATTATGCCATGTATCATCAATTTCTTATAGCATTAACTGTAACCATTTACATGAAACTATCTCATACTCTTAGAGATTGTCCTATTTCTTGAGTTGTTTGGACAACTTTCCTTTTTCCAAACTTTGCAGGCTTTCTTTTTACTGTTGTTTATTAGGTTCTATTAGGTCCCTTTTTGTCATTACTTGTTGGAAATTTTGGAAAGCTATGTATGAGAAAATATTTCAATCTTATAGAAAGCTTAATTAGTCGATTGTCAATTATATTTCAAACTCATAATTTATTTTGCACGTTTTAAATATTGTCACATGGTTGTAGAGCATTCAGCAAGTCGCGTGGCTCCCCCATTTAGCTCATAGTTTAAAGTTTAACATTGATGATAGCTCGTTGATAATCTAAGTTGTGCTCGTTTTGGTGGCCTTGTATGTAATTTTATCGATGTTTAAATTTATGGCTTCACTAAATCATGTGGCTATGCCTCTAACATAATAGAAAAGTTCTATGATACCCTTAAAGATCTTCCATTGACTTAGGACCTAGGCCACCATATTATTACTTTTATTCAAATTCAAAATACACTATTAATGTTATTCTAAAATGGGATATCACTTACCATCCTCACACAATTTTTCGTGTTCGAATTCAGACTTTTAGGTCGCAAGATTGATCTATTACATTTACTTAACCCTTCAAGAATGCAACAGGTGTATTAATTGGTTGACTAAACATGAAGCTCGTCTTAACTTTAATCTTAAATTATGGACTACTCCTCTTCAAATATCCTCAAATAGCACATGTGACACTTGCGGATGCAATGAGAGTTTTGAAATTCTGTCATCACTAGTTTATTTCTTAAAAAATACAACAACAAAAAAATTATTAAAATATACTTATAATTTAAGTGGATTAACCAAACACAAATAAGAATATTTCAATAAAAATAATTGTAGTGTATACTTTTATTTAAGTATAAATAAATAAGATATGATAAGTAAATATTTTAAATGTGACATTCAAAATCCTCAAATAGCGCGTGTGACACTTGCGGATGCAATGAGAGTTTTTAAATTTTGTCATCACTAGTTTATTTCTTAAAAATTACAAAAACAAAAAAAATACTTATTAAAATATACTTATAATATAAGTGGATTAACCGAACATAAATAAGAATATTTCAATAAAACATAATTGTAGTTTATACTTTTATTAAAGTA